TTATTTATCAACATTTTAATAGAGAATTCTAGGTATATTAAAATCTAGGTTGCATGGAAACGGAAACGAATACGCGAAAACAAAAAGTTTTGAAACATGAAAATGTAATGTTTTAAGAATATAAAAATATAAATGTTTTGCAACCGTGTATATATAATATAAATATATTAAATATCTAAATAATATTGAAATTAGAATATTTAAATAAACAAAAATATAGTACACAATTACTAAATAATTTATTTTAATATAAACAATTATAATATTTAAAATCAAAAATTTAGAAAATGTTCTTTAAAATCAATTCATTATCTCTGTTAACCATTCAATTCTAATTAATGGAGAGAAAAGATTTTTAAACTCAATAATACCAATATTAATCTCATCTAATGAATCAAAATAATTATAAACTTATTATATTAAAGCAAATTAATTATTACTATGTATACAAAATGAAATTGATCATTTGATCTAGTTTAAATAATTGTTAATTTATTTACTAAAAAATAAAAGTAAGTTTCCATGGTGTTTACAAATTACAATTTTTCGAAAATATGGTTTTTTGTGTTTCCATCGATTTTCTGAAACGTTTACAAAATATGAAACGCACCTCAGACAGAGTTTCCATACAACCTAGATTAAGATAGAATTCTACGTATTGAGATAAAATATTAACATAAAAAGAATTTCATGTATTAAGATATAATTTTATGTATAATAAAAAAAATTATATGTGAATTGCCATTGAATTCTATGTATTAAAAAATAATTATATAGTTCAATATATTTTAAGATAAATTTTACCTTAATATACATATAATTATATTTCAAAAATAAATTTCACATATTTTTTTATACATAAATAACTATCTTAATAAACATATAATTCTATCTTAATGTAATTAAATTATATCCTTAAACATAGAATCTATTCTATTTAAAAAGGATAGCTTATATGTTTAAAAATAATTGGTGTGTTATATATTACATGAAACACTATTGTATTTTAGTATTTTCTCTAGAAATTCATTAATGATAGCTTAGTCATTTGTTAATGTATATAATTGATTTTTTCTTTTTATTATTTAATTATTATATTCAAATATATTTATTTTCAAACATTATTTATTTAGATTAATTTAACTCCAACTATCAAATACATCTATATAATTTAAAACTTGCCATAAGTAATAATTTTGGAAATTCTAATATTTAATCTTATAATTAATTACATCCAAAATTTATATAAAGCAGAATTGTTACAATTATATTGACTATAAATCTATATAATTAAACTTCATACATCTATACAGTACGAAACGCATTGTAAAAAAACATCTATGATATTTGTTGTTGGGTAAATTTTTTATTTAAATTAATTTTTTTTCATGAATTATAAATCAATCAATTTCTATTTATTTGGACATATATATAAATAATATTATCTAAAAATATATATTTTTAATATATCTTACAAATTTTAGATATAAATCAGATGCCATTAATTATATTAAAATTTAAAAAATTAATGATAAAATCAATAAATGAATAATGGTTAACCATATTCTCTTTTATCTTTTCTTAATTCTATATTGAAAATCTTATTGATTCAATGGCATATTCTTTCATTAGCTAAATGATAGTAAATGATTTAAAAAGGTGTATTTTAAAAGTATCTTAAAAATCTTAGATATTATATTAAAATTTTAAAATTAATAATAAAATCAATAAATATATAATCTTTAACCATATTCTATTTTTTCTTTTCATAATTCTATATTAAAAATCTTATTTATTTAATGGCTTATTCTTTAACTGGCTAAATGATAGTAAATGATAATAACTATAGAACTCTGTATAAATTATAGATTGCACTAAATATTGTGAGACTTCATTTATATTTTTTTTATATTTGATCACTAAAATTATGGAGTAAGCTTCCAAATAAAAAATCAAAATATTTTTAATATAGAAACAATAACTACTTAAATATTTGCAAAAACAATCCAAAAGATATAGTTAAGTTTTTATGCTGCATGTAATAAGTCGGCATATTAAAAAACAAATTTCATATTTTATAATTAACATAATAAAAACCATTTAATATAATAGTAATTCTTATCAGACCCTAACAAACCTAGTATATGTATCCATAAATAAGTAATTTATTGAAGGATACAAAAACAGTAACTCAAATTATCTTATTGTTTTCTATTTAGTTTTTTTGAAAAAAAAATATCTTTGTAAATGTATAAAAATTTGAAACATATATAAATTGTACTTGGCGATGGGGATGGGGATGTTTTTTCCCGAAAGCGAAAATGAATAAAAAATATCGCTCATTCGTAGGATGGATTAAAATTTAGTAAATTATATAATTTATTTATACCAAAATAATTTTTTTTTACTTCTATAAATATTTTATACAAAAAAAACATCAGAAAAAATCTCGATTTCAAGGCGGATTAAAGTATTTGCTTCAAACCAAGAAAGGAAAAGAAGAACGAATAACTTCAAAAAACGAGGAAAAATAGAAAAAAATGAAGAAGAAGAAGAATAGATAAGAAGAAGAAACATAGAATAAGAAAAATATAAAAGAGGAAGGAACATAAAACAAGAAGAACAGGGAAGAAGAAGGAGCATGCAAAAAAAAAAAAAAAAAGGTAGAAGAAGGAGCATAAAAGAAGAAGAAAGAATAGAGGAGGAAAAAAAAGATTAATCACACATAACATATTTAAATCAATAACACATAACTTATACTACTTTATTTTCAAATTCACAGTTCCATACTTGCAAAATTTAATTTCTATACTCATCATATAAAAATAATCTATAATTCATATAATCATAAAAAACATATTTTAAACAATATATTTTGTAGATTTAATAATTTAATCTTTAGAAAAATATAAACCCGCGCAGGTGCGTGAGTATGTAATCAAGTTCTATATTAATACACATAAAATCTATCTTAATATAAATAAAATTATATCTCAATACTCATAGAATCTACCTTAATATACATAGATTTCTATCTTAATTTTCTATCTTGGTATACATTGAATTATATATTAAAATTCTATCATAATTCATAAAAATATATCTTAATACACATAAAATTCTCTTATATATACATAACTTTATATTAAGTTATATCTTATTATATAATATTATACCTTAATACATAAATTTCTATTTAAATATACATAGAATTATATTTTAAAAGTTAGTTATTTATACATAAAACTCTATCTTAATACAAGAATTCTATTTTAATACACATAGAATTTTATTTTAATATACATATAATTCTATCTTAATACATATAATTATATCTTAGTTCTATCTTAATACATATAATTATATCTTAATACTAATATAACTTTATCTTAACTCATAGAATTTTATCTTAATACACATAGAATTCTATTTTAATACATATTATTTTAACATGATACATATAAATATATCTCAATGCATAAAATTTTATTTTTATTGTCTTAGGTCATAAACTAAATAATACTTTGGGCCACATTCAAGATAAAAAAATCAGTGTATAATTTTATTAAAAATGAATTTTGAATTTCTTAAAGTGAATATAATTTGATCATTTTTATGTATATGTTAATAATATGTATGAGTATTAATAAGATTTGTTTTCTACTTTATAACTAATTTTGATATTATTTATGATATAAATGTAATTGTATATTTAGACTAACCTGTAAAGATGTTGTTTGTAAAAAAATCAAACATTTACAAAATGCAAATAATTGTATATTTTATTTAAAAATATATATATTTAATATATATAAAATATTTATAGAAACATATTATATATTTATAAGTTTAATATTATTAATCAATAATAAAAAATATATATAATCGTAAAAATATTTATAAACTATTAAATTTTTGATCTAATAAAAAAACAAATGCTGAAATTATAACATAATTTAACAAAATAATATTTTAACTTTTTGGCCAAGTTATTTTTTTGATTAAACTAACAAAATATAATACTTGACTTTTTAACCAAATGGAAGTATTTATAATATTTTGAATATTTGATATAAAAGTTTTATAAATTGTTTATCAAATTTGAATATTTTTAATATTTAGTTAATTTATATGGCTCTATTAAAAAAATGTATATTAAATTAAAATTCTTATAAATATGTGTACTTATCAAATCAAGCTTGCAGCATTTACGAAAAAAACAAATTAACATTTTTTATATTGAGTTTTGAACCATCTACAGCTTTTCATTTATAATGTTATACTTTTAAAACATGTTAATATTTATTTATTATTTAAGTGATTTATATTTGTTTTATAAATTCAAATTATAACAAATATACCAAAAAATTATTTTTTACTTTATAGATGATATGATGATTTATTTACATAATTAAGTTTAAACGAAAATAAAAGAAAAATTATAGTGCTTAAAGAAATAATTAATATGCTATATTTTTGGTAAAAATACAAAAAAGAGAGAATATCTTCATAATTTAATGTTGAATTATATATAAATAAATGATATAAACTATTGTCTAACCATATTAATGTGAGTGGCATATCATATATTTGGTTTCATAACATAAGTTCTGTTTTAAAAGTGTGGTGATAATGGGTGTGGTGACACTATTGTTAATAAAATATAAAACTAAAGTCATTTTCAAAAAATATTTCTCCATTAATATATAGGAGATTCTAATTATGTACATGTAAAATTTTATCTTAACTGAAATAGATTTTGATCTTAATACATAAATTCAACTTAATATACATATAATTATTTTTTAATATTACATATAAGTTTATCTTAAACATAAAAATTCTTAATATGCATTGAATCTCAAGACAATTAGATTTCATCTTAAAAGTATAAATATATAATCAATCATTCACCCAAAAACGTTCTTATCATCCAAATAGAATACAAACAATTACTTCAAAGAAATATAAGATTAGAAGAAAATTAGAAAACATAAAATATGGAGAGGATTATTTCACTTGTAGTTCTTGCTAGCTTACTTATCATGTTTGGCTCAGGTATTATTGTGTACATCTCTTATATTATATCTTTTATATATTTTCCAACTATTCTGTTTATTTTATTTACTTGACACATTTTTCTTACAGTTATAAAAGTTCGAAAATATAATTCTGTAAAATAACTAAATAAATTTTGACAGAACCAACTATGCTTAACATCTTAAATATAGGGATTCAATATTTATTCCCTAGATGAAATAAATAGATCATATATTCAAGTAAATAAATAAATAGTTCAGATGGCCTTAAATAAATAAAAAATAGTAGTGTAATGATAGTAATCTAACCTTTTCTAACAATATAATATATTTAATAGTTAATATGTCTAAATCATAAACAAACATATAGTTATAGTATATAATAAACCAAAATATTTATGTTTTAGGTTAAGTTTAATAATGTATACAATATAACAGTTGTGAATCAGACTAGAGCACATCCATGCCTTGTCGACAGTCTAGGCACTTGCAAAAATTGTGACCAGAAATGCAAAGACAAACACGGCCCATCGAGCGAAGGCAGCTGTGACCGCTCTTTTGGGGTGTCGCTATGCAGATGCTCCTATGAATGTGTGTCCCCACCGCCCTCGCCGCCCTTGCCCCCTCCACAAAAGGTTTGCGATGGTGATGCTGGTCCATGCATTAGAAGTTGTGCTGAAAGTTATTGTCATACGAGCTGCAAGCAAAAGTATAAAGGTGGAGTAGGATTTTGTAACACCCTTGGTAATATCAATTTATGCCAATGCCAATACCCTTGCTAAAGCCGGTTGGCGAATTTATAAACCGGCTGTTATTCTTATACTAATCTATTATTATTGGTCTCGGGGTGACTTTGTTTCTATGAACTGTAAACATGATTCAGATTATTACTCATAAAGATAATGTCAGATTACTTTACATACATCGCGAAAACATCAAAGAAGATATTGACACAAAGAGAACATCTCAAGATCCACACGTATAGTCCAAAATATGAGGAATGGGAATCAGCAATATATCTTCCAACATCACACGACGTTTGAAACCTTAGCAATGGAACCTGAGTTCAAGAACACACTTATCCATGATCTAGACATGTTCTCTATCGGAAAAGATTTCTTCAAAGCCAAGCTTGGAAATGTGGTTATTTTTATTTTTTGGGCCAAATTATTTTTTGATTAAACTAAAAATTTGTAATATTTAATTTTTAATCAAATGCAAATATTTATAATATTATAATTGTAACACAAAACCTATTTTAAATATTTTTAACCTTATATCAAGTTTTTTTAATTGTTTTATAAGCTTTTATTAAAAAAATCTATGTTAAACTAAAAATACTTATAAGTATATGTATTTATCAAATCAAGCTTATTGCATTTAAAAACAAAAAAATAGCATTTTTTTCTTTTTCTTTATAATGATATTTTAACCATCTACAACTTCTCATTTCTAATGTTATACTCTTAAAACATACTCATATTTATTTATCATTTAATTAATTTATATTCGTTTTTTAAAATTCGAATTATAATAAATGTACCAAAATATATATTTTACTATATAGATAATTTGATGATTTTTGTTTTACAAAAATAAGTCTAAACAGAAATAAAAGAAGAAATATAGTTTTTAAAGAAATAATTAATTTGATATGTTTTTGGTAAGCAATACAAAAAAGAGAGAATATCTTTATAATTAAATGTTCAATTATATATAAATAAATAATATAAACTACTGTCTAACCAAATTAATATGAGTGACACATAATATAATTAGTCTAGTAACATAAGTTTTAAAAAAATGATGATAATGAATGTAGTGATAATACATCAGCATGATGACACCATTGTAAATAAAGCATAAAACTATGATTATTTTCTAAAAATATTTATCAATGAATATATAGAAGAATCTAGTTATTTACACATAGAGATATATATTAATATACATGTAAAATTTTGTCTTAATTGAAATAGAATTTTTATCTTAATACATAAAACTCAACTAAATATTCATAAATTTTTATTTTAATATTACATAGAAAATTATCTGATTAAACATAAAATTAAATTTTAATATACAGTGAATCTCAAGACAATTAGATTTCATCTTTAAAGTATAAATATATAAAGTAATCATTCAGCCAAAAGCGTTCTTATTGTCGAAATAGAATACAAACAAATACTTCAAAGAAATACAAGGTTAGAAGAAAACTAGAAAACATCAAATATGGAGAGGAAAAATTCACTTGTAATTCTTGCTAGCTTACTTATCATGTTTGGCTCAGGTATTATTGTATATCTCTTATATTCTATCTTTTATATGTTTTTCAAACTATTATGTTTATTTTATTCACTTAACACACTTTTCTTACTATTACAAATGTTCGAAAATATAATTCCGTAAAAAAAAACTAAATAAATTTTGACAGAACCAACTATGTTTAACATCTCGAATATAGAAATTCAATGTCTATTCTCTAGATGAAATAAAAAGATCATACATTAAAAAAAAAAATAGTTCATGGGGCCTTAAATGAAAAAAAAAAATAGTATAGTGATAGTCATCTAACCTTTTTTTTAACAATATAACATATTTAATAGTTAATATGTCTAAATCATAAACAAACGTACAATTATATAACATATAATCCAAAATATTTATGTTTTAAGTTAAGTTTAATAATGTATACAATGTTACAGTTGTGAATCAGACTAGAGCACGCACATGCTCCTACGGATGTGTGACCCCACAGCCCTTGCCGACTTCAAGCAAGTTTTGCAACGGTGATACTGGTCCATGCCGTGGTGATTGTGGTGCAAGTTGTTGTGATGCGAGCTGCAAACAAAAGTATAATGGTGGTGCACGTGGATTTTGTAACTTACTTGGTAATAACAATTTGTGTCAATGCCAGTATCCTTGCTAAAGCCGACTGGCAAATTTATAAACTGGTTGTTATTCTAATATTGTAACTTTGATAATGTGATGGTAAAATTTTTTTTTTAAAAAAAATAATATCTATTCAAATAAAAAATGATCAAATAATAGCAATTACTATTTATTGGTTTGGGGGTGACGTGAACGGAAACAACGTTGTACATGTAAACATGATTCAGATTGTTACTCATAAAGATAATGTCAGATTACTTCACATACATCACGAAAACATAGGTGAAGATATTGACACAGAGAGAACATCTCAAGATCCACACTTACAGTCCAAAATATGAGTTCAGCAATCTTCCAACATCACACGACGTTTGAAATCTTAGCAATGGAACCTGAGTTCAAGAACACAATGATCCATGACCTAGACGATTTCTCTAATGGGAAAGACTTCTTCAAAGCCGTAGGACGAGCTTGGAAACGTGGTTATCTGCTTTACGGTCCGCCTAAAACCGGAAAATCATCGCTTGTTGCTGCAATCGCTAATCACATGAACTATAGTATCTATATAATATTCAGATTCAGAGCGTTATTGGTGATGCGATGCTTAGACAGATTCTTACTTCAACTGAGAACCGCTCGATATTTCTCGTTGAAGATCTTGATTGCAGTGGAGCGGATAGTTCTTGTAGTAACGAAAACAAAGATGAAGGAGAAGATGACGAGAATCAGAACAAGAACAAGAAGAAAAAGAAGGTTACTAAGGTTTATTAATATATTTACGTATAAGCTTCAATAATTTTCACAAACCGTCTCTGATATTTGTGTTCTGATTCTGCTTGTTCTTTTGTGGTTTAGGTGACTTTGTGTGGTCTACTAAACTTTGTGGACGGGTTATGGTCAAGCTGTGTAAAGGAACATATAATAATCTTACAACGAATCATAACTGGATCCGGCATTGCTGAGACCTGGAAGAATAAATGTTCAAGTGCTCATGGATTATTGTGCGCCTATTGTCTTCAAGAAACTCGCTTCATTGTATCTTGAGATCAAAGAATACGATTTGTTTGAGCTTATTGAAAAGATGTTCATCGAGGTGAAAACAACTGCAGCTGAGGTCACAGAGCAGCTTATGGTGAGCAAGAATTCGGATATTGCGCTTGAGAGTCTTGTTGAGTTTCTCGAAACCAAGAAAATGACTAAAGAGGGTGAAGAAGCTGGAACTAAAGAAGGAAAAGTATGAAGGCTTTAAGCCTTCGAGGAACCATTAAAGTAGTTAAGTACTAATTATGGAGTACATAAGTACAATGTAGCATTCTCTGTCTCAATTTCATTTGAGATTTAGTAGTACAGTACTTATGTAGTAACTAATCTCAACTGTCTCAGTTTTCATAATTGGGATTTAAATAAGGCTGATTGAAACTAATTACAAAAGGCTAATTGTCTTGTTTTTATCTGTGATTGTATTTTTCAAAGTCAGTTGCTTCTTTTAAGATACAAATGGGTCTTGTCAGTACTACCTGCATCAGTGGAAGTGAAAAAACAAAAGGCATGATTGAAGTTAAGATTCTATAATCAAGATATTTGATATGATCAGTAACTAGAAAATACTTGATAATTGATATAATCAAAATTGGCCTTTGAAATAGGAGTTAAATTTCTTTAATTTTTTTCCAGAAATTTAAATTTTGCAGAAGTTATTATAAATATAGTAAAGAGAATTTGCTGAAAAAAGGAAAAAGAAAAGGAGAAAACCAACACAGAAGCAGAGTAAGAAAAACCCATTTTGTTCGCTTTTTTGAACTTTCTTTTTGATTTTGGTAGTAAGAGAGGTAGTGTCGTCTAATTGCATTTGCATCCCCAATAAAATAATCAAAAGGAGAAAGTTATAAAGAATTAAGCAATAATTTGTCCACCAACACCGAGATCTCTCTCGAGGAGCCAACCAATTGAGAATTTGCAGACAGTGTGGGCTGTTTTGTTGTCTTGTGTCTTTTCTGGGCCTTGAAAGGATCTTCTTCCTTTTCACCCTTTCTCTATAAACCCAGAAAAACCTTCTGTTTCTCAGTCAATTCTTTTCTCTCGATTGCGATTCTTATTCATCTGGAGAAAATCTCCTCGTTTTATTCATCGCCATGGCTCTCTCAACACACCTTTCTCAGGTTTTTCTTTGGTTTTGCTATTATATACTCTTTTACTTCCTGAGATTAATTTCGGATTCCAACGAAAGTTTGGTTTTTGATTTCAGATGTCTGTTGCACTTCCACCTGGAATTGATGGGTCGAGCCGATCTATGATTAAGGTGAACAAAACTGATCTAGATTAATCAATTACCGACCTATGTTGTTTCAGATGGTCCTGAAATTTTTTGTCTTTGGCTTTTTTTTTCCGAGTGGGTTTAGCTCTGATGTAGACTTGTAGTGAATTTGGTATTGAAAGGTACAGTCTTTAGAAGTAGAAGATGACAAAATCTGCTTCTTGAAACTATAGAGAAATGAAAATATGAATCCTTTAGCCTCTCTCATGATCTCATCTAGAAAGTGGAAGAAGCTAATTCCGAATAACAGTTTGTAGTAAGCGTTGACCTATTTGATTCTGTCTCAGGTGCAAAGTATAGGCTTCACTGAGAAGTCAGGGAGTCGTCTTCTGAGATTAGATTCGGAATCTAGGAAGTTAAGTTTGAGAAACCGGTCAACGATATGTATGTCAATTCAGCAAGCAAGCAGATCCAAAGTCTCAGTCACTCCTCTAGAACTTGAAGCTCCAAAAGAGACTCCTTTAAACCTGTACAAGCCCAAGGAGCCTTACACAGCAACGATTATTTCGGTTGAGAGAATTGTTGGTCCACAGGCACCTGGAGAGACTTGCCACATTGTAATCAATCATGATGGCAACGTTCCTTATTGGGAAGGACAGAGCTATGGAGTGATCCCTCCTGTAAGTAGTTCATTTTGCAAAAGTGTCTCTTTTGAGATTTTGAACTTTTGTTGACGATTATATAATGCATCGCCTTTTGCTTCCGTAGGGTGAGAATCCTAAGAAACCAGGTGCTCCTCACAATGTTCGCCTTTATTCGATTGCATCAACGAGGTATGGAGATTCTTTTGATGGCAAGACAGCTAGCTTATGTGTTCGCCGAGCTCTTTACTATGATCCAGAGACAGGAAAGGAAGATCCTTCGAAAGCTGGTGTATGCAGTAACTTCTTGTGCAATGCTAAACCAGGGGATAAGGTCAAAATCACCGGTGAGTTATGTGTTTCACAGAGATATAACGGTAAAATGTCTAAAAAAAAAGAAAACCGTTTCTTTTGTTGAAGATGTTTTGGTATTGGTGAACAGGTCCTTCGGGAAAGATAATGCTTTTACCTGAAGGTGACTCGAAAGCTACTCACATAATGATAGCTACTGGAACCGGAGTTGCTCCATACAGAGGATACTTGCGGCGTATGTTTATGGAGAACGTTCCTAGTTTCAAGTTTGATGGACTCGCGTGGCTCTTCCTCGGCGTGGCTAACTCAGACAGTCTTCTCTACGACGACGAATTCTCCGGTTACCTCAAGGACTATCCTGAGAATTTCAGGTACGACAAGGCGCTGAGCAGGGAAGAGAAGAACATGAAAGGTGGGAAGATGTATGTGCAGGACAAGATTGAAGAATACAGCGACGAGATCTTCAAGCTTCTTGACAATGGAGCTCATATTTACTTTTGTGGGCTTAAAGGAATGATGCCTGGGATTCAAGATACGCTTAAGGGAGTCGCGGAAGAGAGAGGAGAAAGCTGGGAGCAGAAACTTACTCAGCTCAGGAAGAACAAGCAATGGCATGTTGAAGTGTATTGAGTTGTAATAGAGTCAGTATACTCTCTCTTTACTGTATCTTCTACATTTCTGCAATTGAATAAATTGTGTGACGATCCATTTTTTTGGATGATAAGACTTAATATATCTCAGTTTGATTTGGTTTCTGTGACTCTTATTTCAGTTATTCACTTATTTGTATTCTTCAACAAATGATATCTATTTGAAAATTTTGAATGGTTAAGTTACAGCTACGTTGCTTGGCTATGGTTCACATACCGTTTATTCGGTACTGAGAATTCATAACGTAATAAAAATCGATTTTGAAATTTCGGTTCGGTTTGACAAACCACGCATCAATCCCAATGCTTTGATAGAAAACGATGTCGTAAAGCTTTCCCAAATCGAACATCATTCTTTAATTGAAACGACGACGTCTCACTCTGAGTTCTTCTTCCACAGTCTAGTCGAAACCCTAAATCTCTCTACTCAAACACCATTTTCAGACGGAGGTCATAAACTCAGGTGTAAGCAGAAGGATGATTCGAGTGACGAGACCAAAACCGATCATTGAATCACTGAGTTTCCACCTTATCCAGAGATGCTCCGCTGGCGGAACCCCCAAAGGAAAGGCCAAGCTGAAGACAGGCCAGCCATTGAAGCGTAACAAACTCTCCACCAAGAAAGGCGGAAGTGGCGGCGGCGGAGGAGGAGCTGGGGAAGGAGAGGAGGCGGTTAAAGGAAAGGGGAGGATTTCCGATGAGAAGCAGAAGCTCTACGAGCAATGCTTAACCGCTCCTTGTCCTGTTCGATACTTGACGCCCCAGGAGACGGAGCGAGAGGCGCAACGTGAGAAGCTAGGGTTGATTAGCAAGGAGAAGCAGCGGGATATGGAGATTCAGAAGAAAGGAGGAGCCGCCGCAATGGGGATCACCGACGAGCCGGCCCGAATCGGGACGCCGGGATTGGATTACATCTCGTTAGGGATCTTCGAAGCCGGCGAATTGCCGAAATACAAGCTGACGCAAGAGGACGCACAGAGACTCGCCAAGGAGAACAGTAAAGTGCTGATGAGAGAGCACAGGGAGCGTCGTGCAGCTGAGACTGTGCTTCTGAATATGAAGTTGGCTGCGATTGAGGCGTTGCCGGAGAATCTGAAGAAGGCAGCATTGGAGCCTGATTTGACACCATTTCCGGCGAATCGAGGTATGGCCTCTCTTACACCGCCTATTGAAGGGTATCTAGAGAAGGTCATGGATGCAGCCAAGAAGAGTTCAAGTAAAGAGAAGTTGAGATGATTCAGTTAAAAGGTTAGAGATTTTGTCCCACGCCATAGTTTTTCTCTTGCTTTTGCTTTTGCAATTAGCTTTGACTGTTTGTTTTCGATCAGTGGAATTTAGTTTTTTGAGTCTTGGGTTTACTTTGTTGTAGAAAACGTTTATAGAGAATTTGACATGATCCGATAAAGGTTAGAGATTTAGGATTGATGGTTAGTAGTATTGATCTCTGATGTTAAAGTTGTCGTCTTTGGTTTACTTTGTTAGCTCAAAATTGATGGTTAGCTAGAGTTCCACATAGTATGATACGTATCGATTAATTTGAGATCGAGTTCTATGCATATAGCAAGTAAATGAATGAGATCAGTCACTTGTCCTTTTAAGTAAGTGTTTGCAAATTTAAATTTGAAACTTTTGGAAGCCTTATCTCTCTCTGGTGCTTCTCTGCATTGTAGGCTTGAGTCTTATGTATGGCTCTTTGGATCATCATGTATCATCGTTCTTGTTTCAAAGTCTGTGTGGTATTCTATGTATGCTTAGATTTTTGTTCAGAGCTTTCCTAACCAATTTCCTGCTGGTTTTTCTTATCTAGTTGAAGCTATTGTCATTCAGAATGGAACAGAGCCGAGACTGAGAGACATCGAGAAGTGCTGCTATAGACAGAAACTTCAAGAAACTGTTCTCTAGGGATTCCAAGTTTTACTTAGTTTCATTCATGAAGCTACTTGCCTTTCTTTTGCAAACGCGATTTCCATAAGCAATGTCCGAGATCTTGATAATGATGAAGTCTGTGTATCAATGGATCTTGGTTTAATAAATTTTTCCTTATGCAAATTTGGGTTTCCGAGACCGAAACAAATAGCTTTATTGCGAGAATGAGAATTTGGGAAAATTATCCTCTTTGATTCATCGGTAAAAACAAAATGTTTAAAAGTTCTTCTCTCTTGTATTTTTTTTTTCAAATAATGGGTACTACAATAAAACAAACAAAAAAGGGAGCAAAAACTTCATGAGCTGAAAAGACTTGTAACAGTCGTATATAACTTAAACATTGATGCTTAGCTTCTAGCAACTCAAAATTTTTTTAAGTACCAAAGTCTTCTTTAATCCCCAACAAAATCCTTTAAGACAGCCTTATGGGATGTATCGCGACACCATTTTGCGCAGACTTTAAGCAGCCCCATCTTCCAAATCGCGTTTCCTGCAATAACGATTTTCACAAAACACAAGAGTTTTGAGATTTGCATTTCAAACACACAACAAAGAACAAAGATAGGAAAGAAACAAAACAAGAAAAGACGATAAGAGAGATTCGCATACCTGTCCGACACCGGCAATCAGAAATTTACCCGATTTTGCAATAGCCAAAGAGTTCACAAATCCAGACTGTAGGATTATAAAAGGCATTGTGAGATTATTATTACTTGAAGAAGTGAAATGCTTTTCTCTGTGCACTAGAATTAATACAAGTTTCTCAATACGCAAGTGAGTTTATAACAGGCTAAATCATGTCTGTTAGGTAAGAACTTACCTCACACAACACTTAAAACATAACTTAGGGGATAAAATAATTACCAGTGGAAGCTTGAATAAAGGTCGAATGGCAGTTTTTCCAGTTTCAACACCCAACAAGTGCACAAAACCATTACCAGCTCCAGATGCAGCAAGATCACTACCTCTACAAACAGCAACTGAACTGACCCAAGAACTTGCTGAGCAAGAGTTGACATAACTATGATCATCACCATTTTCTGTTTAATTCAAAAATAAAAACAAAGAGTTAAGACCTTTCAAAAGCAATAAGAGCTGCAATAAAACAAAACAAATTGTGTTTTTGTAGCTATGTTCTACAATGTTAAGAATCAGATTGCATACTAAGAGGAACTAACTCAAGGTTTTACCTAAGATTCCATTAGCGGTCATTCCATCAGCTATATCTGTATGCAGATTCTTGAGGAGAAACACTGGTTTCTTTCTTAACATGCCCCATAGAGCAACAGTTCCATTATCCGAACCAGACAGGTACTCATCATCACTGATGAAACAGCAGCTCTCAAGAGACGAAGCAGGGGCACGATAGACTGAACGACTTTGCTCAGGCACCTATTTTTCAACATAAACAGGATTTACAAACAAAGAATAGCAGAAACCATATGACGATGGCTACTGCCAATAGAATTCACATGGACTAATAATAATAAAAAAGAAGCAACCTATTTACCTTAGTTAATAGCAATATTCTATCTCTTCCAACCGTAAGAACACGCTCCTTCCGTAGCGCATCAATGGATATAATCTCAGCATGGTGTCCAAAACTGTCTTGCATAAACGCTTTATCTTCTACATTCCACACCTTGACAGATCGATCAAACGAACCAGAGTAGAGTTCCGAGGTTCCGTGTCTGAAACACAGACTAGAGACGGTGTGCCTGTGACCTGTAAAGGCCTGTAGACTAAAAAAGTTGAAGGCAAGACTTGATGAAGGAAAAAAATAAAAAAAAAACCACAAAAACAGGATCCATCATTTTACCTGGAGATGCTCTCGGGTACGAACGTCCCATATATGAACATGGCGATCGACTCCTCCAGTCGCCAGATAACGACCGTCGGAGCTAACAGCCAAAGCAAGAGTTTCTCTGCTGTGTTTTTTACTCCGAGGCTCCCTTATTTTCATCCCATGAGACTTCAGAACATCATCACTTGGCCATTTGTATTTGTCGCTTTTCCCAGAAGATACATCCCAGTGCATGATAGTACCGTCTTTCGAAGCTGAGAATCCTCTAGAGTCATCATCAGATAGAGCAACCGCTACAACAGATGTACGGTGCTTGACGATAATACCAAACTCATCACTACTCAGTGGCTCCTGAACCCTAAATCATGAAATAAAATGTTTGATACTTATCTTCATACAAAATCAAAAATTGAGCGAATAAATGTAAAAAACCACAATTTTTTCCTGGTTCTTTAGCTACCCATAAACCCTAAACTACCAGAAATGTCAAATCTATGGATTCGAATTTGAATAGATAAGCAATCCAAATATCTTCATTACCTCGATGCAATGGCTCTTCGACACCTACCACTCTCCTCCTGCTGCTTAGTCATCAAAGTCTTCGCGAGACCTGTATCATCACCTTCCTCATCTTGGTCGTCATCGTCATCCTGTTCTTCACGCTGCCTCTTCTGCGCTACCCTCAGTCTACTCAGCAACCCCTCCGCTAATCTCTTCCGCTTCTCACCCACCGTCTCATCGGCAAACTCATCCTCCTCTTCCTCAACTCTTTCCCCATCTTCGTCTCCGCCTGTAAACCCGTTTTCCTCCGCGTCAGATTCCACAGACTCGATATCCTCGTCGTCGTAACTCACATTCCTCCGTTTCTTTGTCTCTTCCTCGAAGAATGAATCATTATCATTTGAACCCTTTTTTCCGCCTCTCTTAAAGCCTCCACCTTTCTTCTTCTCGTTGTTGTACTTCATCCTTCTCTATCTCTGCAATGCAGGAGAGCTCAATTAGGGTTTAAGGTTAAGCCTCAGGGTTTAGTGGCGACGGCGAAGCAAAAAACAAACGATTTTGTTTATTTGGTCGGAAAGTTCACACAGCCTTAAAATCGTCTGCTTCGCTTTTACATAAAACCTAGGTTTTCTTCAGGAATCGGGTTGACCCGAACTGACCGGGCCTATTAATTAGCTACTCTATGATGAGCCCATTAAATATTTCGCTCAGTTGTCGAAGAAATTGGGCCTTTAGGTACAATATTTTGTGCCGAAACTAACCGGAAACCACCCTTTATGGTATCTACCGAATCCGGTTTCTGAGTTTCTGGTTTTCATTTCTGAAGTAGTCCATGAAACCGAATTAGTATAAGATCAATTTTAGCCAAGTTTGGTTTATCCCAATTTTATAACTTTTAAATCGAAGATTTTAATTTCATAGAACCGAACCGAACAATTCATTATTGTCAATTGAATACCGAACCGGTCGTCATTCTCGAATTCTGTCTTTCTTCTCCCCTTCTTCGCTTTTCGCCTTTGTTGTCATTTTTCATTTTTCATTTTTCATAGTCTCTCTCTCTCCCCCTCGCTAAAATTCCCAAAGCTCGTTAGGGAAATCCAGAAGCTTCCTAGAATTTTGAGGAGGGAGAGGCCCTCGCGTATACAGTGAAATCCCAATTTCTGGGGACGAATAAGCAGAAGATGAGCTCATGGAATTACGTCGTCACGGCTCACAAACCCACCAGTGTCACTCACTCATGCGTCGGCAACTTCACCAGTCCTCAAGAGCTCAATCTCATTGTTGCGTATGAATCTCCTCCTTCCTCTTTCTCTCTTATAAATTCTCTATTGGGTTCCCTTTCTCTATGGAAGCAGTTCATTTTGGGGTTTAGGGTTTTCACGGAAGCTAGATTCAATCACTGCTCAATAATCGTTATTATGCTGTCTTTGCAAACATATTTCGTAAGTAGAAGCTCTCTCAAGATCATCAATTGTAGCGTTGGTCACTAAGTGGTTCGAGTATTGAGAAATTCTGAAATGCTTTGGGAGATGAAGTATTGGGATTTTAGTCTCTCTTGGGTTCTTCGATGTATTGGATAATTGGAAATGTTACGAAGACATGTTTTTTTCCGTATGGCGTTAACTGTTTCAAGTTTGAACTAAATTACATGGTGAAGAGGGTTCACTCTAAAATTTGAAGATCGTGCCTTTTTCGAAATGGGGGGGTTTCTGGAGTTTCATTTGCTAGCAGTTCCGTAACTTTGTTTGAAACTTATCTGATTTATTTCGATTTAACATTGTCCTGTAAAGTTGTATCATCTATTGGATCAGATCCACTATATTGTTAGTTTGACAGCGTGATGATCTGTTCGCAGGAAATGTACTCGAATTGAGATCCACTTGCTTACCCCACAGGGACTTCAGGTACTACATACATCTCTATTTTCTGTATCTTATATGTTCATCGTTTCATCAATAAGGGAAGCTTGCTATCTTTTTTTATTTTAAAATCTTGAGATCCATGCTTTGTTTTGTTAGTAATACATATAACTCTGCTGGATGTTTCCTATATTGCAGCCTATGCTGGATGTTCCTATATATGGAAGAATCGCTACTCTGGAATTGTTCCGGCCCCATGTAAGTATATATCTCTTATCGTGATATATCAAGTTCTTATTAGCAAATTAAAATGTTGATAACCTAGTCCACCATCCGTTGCAGGGAGAAGCACAGGACTTTTTGTTCATTGCAACTGAGAGATACAAGTTTTGTGTCCTTCAGTGGGATGCTGAGTCGTCTGAGCTTATCACTAGGTATAGTTTCCAATATATAATATATTTTTATGCATTCAATTGACGTAAATCAACCAGTTGTGTTATTTGTATTTTGATATATGATCATACTTGCCCTAATCAACTGATCTCAACCAACCTGCTGATTCTATATGATGTATTGACATATCTCAGAGCAATGGGGGATGTTTCTGATCGTATAGGCCGACCAACAGACAATGGCCAGGTAATGAATAACGTCTTGTTGTTGTACTGTGCATTTAATAAAAATGTGTTGTAGTTGAAGGATTGGTTTACATGTAGCTTATTACTGTTTTGACACTTTCTTTTTAGATTGGCATAATCGATCCAGATTGTAGATTAATTGGACTCCATCTGTATGACGGCTTGTTCAAGGTATTTAGTTGGCTCTTATAAGATATGTGCTCGTTTACTGAATTATATCATGCTACTGATCTTCTAGTGATCTTTTGTTTATACGATGTATGACGATGACATTTGTTTCTTTGCTTCATCGTTTAGGTTATACCATTTGATAATAAGGGACAACTCAAGGAAGCTTTTAATATCAGGTACTGTTTTATCCAGTTAGCATTTTTGCATTGGATCATCACCTTTTTGTGTGTTCTAGTGCATACTTGTTTCCATGCAAATTATTCTTTTGCAAATCCTCAATAGACTCAGTCCTCTTGGTTCTTTACGATATTGTTATTTTGGGGACATTTTAAAACTGAATGATATATTGAGTGTGGTGCCTAAATTTCAGGCTGGAGGAATTGCAGGTTCTGGATATCAAGTTTCTGTTTGGATGCGCAAAGCCCACAATTGCAGTACTTTATCAGGTATTGGAACATCTTAACGTGAATGTGTGCAAGAATTTTCTAAACGTGCATTTGGATTTGCTCATTAAACTTAGGCAAACCTTGTTCTTTATTTTTAAGTCTTATTAGAGTTCACTGTAGAAAAAAATCTTTTGGATTTGGTTAGTATCTGTAATGTAGTTGATGGAGTTTGAGCAAAGTAACTTTACTCAGTTTAGTAGTTATCTAAACAGATATTTTCTTCTTCTTCTTTACTTTATAATCTGTTTTGATGATGTGATTTTGAATTTTGTCCGGTGGGACTAACTAATGCTTGGTTTCATAGGACAACAAAGATGCTCGTCATGTCAAAACTTATGAAGTCTCTCTAAAAGATAAGGATTTTGTCGAGGGTCCATGGTCACAGAACAGTCTCGACAATGGTGCTGACTTACTGATTCCTGTACCACCACCTCTCTGCGGCGTCCTTATTATTGGTGAAGAAACTATTGTCTATTGCAGTGCTAATGCATTCAAAGCAATACCAATAAGACCTGTAAGTTCTTTCAACGTAACCTCACCTGCTCTTATAAACAGTTGTTCGAGATTTCTGGGAGTACCCCTTTTTTCTGTTTGATATGTGACCTTTACTTTGCGTGTCCAGTCCATCACTAAAGCATATGGAAGAGTTGATGTCGATGGCTCTAGGTATCTTCTTGGTGACCATGCTGGACTGATTCATCTGCTTGTTATAACGCACGAGAAAGAAAAGTGAGTGTAAATGCGTGCTTGCTCGTCCATATTCTAAACAATTGAAAGCTCTATTGAACTTATTTACTCTGTGCATATGCTGCTTTTATTTGTGTCTCAAGGGTCACTGGCCTAAAAATTGAGCTTCTGGGTGAAACCTCTATTGCATCGACAATATCATACCTTGACAATGCCGTTGTCTTTGTCGGCTCAAGCTATGGTGATTCACAGGTGTGTTAGGATAATTATGTTCCCACTTTTTTTCTTCTAAATTTGTTCCCTTATAATGTAAATTGATGCTCTCCCATGTTTTTTAGTTCTGCCTCATTGTTAATTGTTTAGAATCCTATGTGGATGAGACTTTGTTAATCTTTATTGTTTCACAGCTAAGACAGAAATTCAAAAAATGATTGTCCCTCCTTTTCTCTGGTTTCTAGGTAAAGTAAAATCATCCATCTGAGTGTTTCCATGTTTGATTTTACAATTGCAGCTAGTCAAGTTAAATTTACATCCTGATGCAAAAGGCTCATATGTAGAAGTCTTGGAAAGGTATATCAACTTGGGGCCTATTGTCGACTTTTGTGTTGTCGACCTAGAGAGGCAGGGGCAAGGTCAGGTTGTAACTTGCTCTGGAGCATTTAAGGATGGTTCACTCCGCGTTGTTCGAAATGGAATAGGAATCAATGAACAGGTTTGATTTATGTCGCGAGATCTTGATGTCTTGTATGTGCAATTTTCTCATCTGGTTTATAGCTGAAATGTCTGCTGTATGACAGGCGTCTGTGGAACTTCAAGGTATCAAGGGAATGTGGTCGTTGAAGTCTTCAATTGATGAAGCCTTCGACACATTCCTTGTAGTTAGCTTTATCAGTGAAACCCGTGTATTAGCCATGAATCTTGAGGATGAACTAGAAGAAACAGAGATCGAGGGCTTCTTGTCTCAAGTGCAGACTTTATTTTGCCATGATGCTGTGTACAACCAGCTTGTACAAGTAAGTTTTTTTTCTAGTGCTTGTCTGGTCTCTTCTATCTATTCGTGAACATGAATTAACTGCTACCTTTTCTGGATCAGGTTACTTCAAATTCTGTTAGACTGGTCAGCTCTACAACTAGAGAATTGCGAGATGAGTGGCCTGCCCCAGCTGGTTTCACTGTTAATGTTGCAACCGCAAATGCTAGCCAGGTTTGTTTTTTTTCTCGTTGTATTTGAGTTAAAGTTTTGTATGCATCAAAAAAAAAAAAAAAGTTCGTGTGATAAAAATCTAACTTGAGTGTGTAGACATATAACATTTTCGAATAACCGTTTGTGAATGGATTTATTTATTTGATTGGTAGGTTCTTTTGGCGACTGGAGGTGGGCATTTGGTTTATCTTGAAATTGGGGATGGAAAACTGACACAAGTGCAACATGCCCTTTTGGAGTTTGAGGTTTCTTGTCTTGACATAAATCCCATCGGCGATAATCCTAATTTCAGTCAGCTAGCTTCGGTTGGCATGTGGACAGATATAAGTGTCAGGATATTTTCGCTGCCGGAACTGTCTCTTATTACAAAAGAGCAACTAGGAGGCGAGATAATTCCCCGTTCCGTTCTTCTCTGTGCATTCGAAGGGGTATGACTCCATTGTACATTACTTCAGATAAACCTAGAACCGAGTGAAATTTTTTATGGTAGAACTTAACATATGTTATGTTACAGATATCTTACTTGCTCTGTGCTCTTGGAGATGGACATCTTTTGAACTTCCAGTTGGATACAACTACGGGGCAACTGAAAGACAGGAAAAAAGTATCGCTCGGGACTCAGCCTATAACTCTGCGCACATTTTCATCAAAAAGCGCCACACATGTCTTTGCTGCATCAGATAGACCAACTGTAATCTATAGCAGCAACAAGAAGCTGTTATACAGCAATGTCAATCTTAAAGAAGTTAGTCATATGTGTCCTTTCAACTCTGCTGCTTTTCCCGATAGGTAGACTAAACATCCTCTTTTTGTTTTCTGCTTGTGGTTTCCATTTCTGGGTTTGAATTTGAATGGCTGTGAAATCTGATTCTATGTCCCCTCTTATGAGCAGTTTGGCGATTGCCAGAGAAGGTGAACTTACGATTGGCACCATTGATGACATTCAGAAGCTTCACATACGTACTATTCCTCTTGGAGAGCATGCTCGTCGAATCTGCCATCAGGAACAGACGCGTACATTTGGTATCTGCAGTTTGGGAAACCAGACAAATGCCGAAGAGTCTGAAATGCATTTTGTTCGTCTTTTAGACGACCAAACTTTCGAATTTATGTCAACTTACCCATTGGATGCCTTTGAATACGGTTGCTCCATACTAAGCTGCTCGTTCACCGACGATAAAAATGTCTATTACTGTGTTGGAACCGCATATGTTTTACCGGAGGAAAACGAACCAACTAAGGTATCTTTAATGGTCACTAGTCTCAAGTCAAATTTCTTTATTCCAATTTGTCTTTGAACTTTTCATTTTTGTGAATGCAGGGAAGGATATTAGTGTTTATAGTTGAAGATGGGAGATTGCAGCTTATCGCGGAGAAAGAAACCAAAGGATCTGTTTACTCTCTCAATGCCTTTAATGGAAAACTACTTGCTGCTATTAATCAGAAGATCCAGTTATACAAGTGGATGGTGCGAGAGGATGGCACTCGTGAATTACAGTCTGAATGTGGACATCACGGGCACATTCTAGCCCTCTACGTTCAGACCCGTGGAGACTTTATCGTCGTTGGTGATCTCATGAAATCAATCTCCTTGCTGATCTATAAGGTATATAACTAACTTGCATATGCAACGAAACCTCTTGCGGTTAAAACTCATAGCTTTAGATGGCTGATTCATGACTGTTTTGTTTTGTTGTTACAAGCACGAGGAAGGTGCGATTGAGGAACGAGCTCGAGATTACAATGCGAACTGGATGTCAGCGGTTGAGATACTCGATGACGATATCTACCTTGGTGCTGAGAACAACTTCAATCTGTTGACAGTGAAGAAGAACAGTGAAGGTGCTACTGATGAAGAACGTGGGCGGTTAGAGGTAGTTGGGGAGTATCACCTTGGGGAGTTTGTGAACAGATTCCGCCATGGATCACTAGTAATGAGGCTACCTGATTCGGAGATTGGTCAGATCCCAACTGTTATCTTTGGTACAGTCAATGGAGTGATCGGAGTGATAGCTTCACTGCCTCAAGAACAGTATACTTTCTTGGAGAAGTTGCAGTCGAGTTTGAGGAAAGTGATTAAAGGAGTTGGCGGATTAAGCCACGAGCAATGGAGGTCGTTTAACAACGAGAAGAGAACTGCGGAAGCGAGGAATTTCTTGGATGGTGACTTGATCGAATCGTTTCTGGATCTGAGTAGGAACAAGATGGAGGATATATCTAAATCAATGAATGTTCAAGTGGAAGAGTTGTGTAAGAGAGTTGAAGAGCTCACTAGGCTCCACTGAGAGCCCTATCAGTCAAAACCATAAGCTTTGTTTGGTTTTTTAAAAAAAATTATGCTTTCTCGAGTTAAAAGTCTCCTTTTGGTTTTGTAATAACTTGGCTCAAGTGTTTGCTTTCTTAATCAAACCGATTGTCTTTTGAGTCCTGTGGATTGAAAGAATCGTGTATCAGTTTATCGAAATATATATTTATTTATATATTGTATTATTATGTGTTTATTGGGTATATTAATACTATTTCAGTCTCTGTATAAATATATTCTGTTTATAATCGAATGTGTAATCTTTGCAGTTAATTCTTTGCTTGTGAACGTCTCTCTTCTCAACTTTTATGTATTCGTTATACAAAGACAAATCGGTTAATAGATTGTAAAGTGATATTCCTGATATTAAAATCTGTAAAAAACAAATCTTCTGCCATCAAATTCTTTTTCTTTAAGCCTTTTAAGAGAGTGAAACATTTTATTTCTCTCGAAGGCACCTTCGATTCCTTAAAGAGATCTAGACTATTCTTTGCTCTTTTTATTAGGTTCTCTAGCGACTAATAAAATAAAATTTATCTTGTCTCAAACCTCATCCTCAAGTCCCCATCACTTGATCATTAATATATTTATGTACCATAGTATAGGTTTCTACTTATGGTGATGTGATCATCTAGATTCTTTCCTCCCTTTACATTTGCTATCACAAACATCTAAGAATGAGAAATCAATTTTGGATTTTTGTTTTTTCTCTGCTTCAACTAAACTTCGTCTCCCAGGGTAAAACATCTAATTTCTCTTAATCTTCCTATTGAAAGTAATTAGTTAACCCCTTCCGTTTGTTAAAGTTGCAAATTTTAGAATACGGATGGAGTATATTTTACTGGTCCCATCGACAAATGCATATATATATTTACTTATTGTTAAACGTTTGTACAATGTGCAGCTACAAGACCGGTGATAACGATCAGACCAGAGTCACCGGTACGGCCTCAAGGGAACACGACTTTCTTGGACGGAACGACATGGTGTGTGGCTCGACCAAGTGCGTCTCAGGCTGAGCTACAGAGAGCTCTTGATTGGGCCTGTGGGATTGGGAGAGTGGATTGCTCGGTCATCGAGAGACATGGTGATTGTTACGAACCGGACACGATCGTGTCGCACGCATCTTTTGCGTTTAACGCGTATTACCAAACCAATGGAAACAATCTCATCGCTTGTTACTTTGGTGGGACCGCTACACTCACCAAGGTTAACCCTAGTAAGTTTCTTGCACAAAGTAGTTATGTAAAATGTTCGATTTATTTTACTTATTATGGGGTTTTTTTTTTTAAGTTGCTCCTGATGATATATTTTTATGTTGCTTGCAGGCTACGGAAAGTGCTCCTACGATGTATCCAAGTAAGAAACCTAAATTTCTTGTTATTCATTATGTCTTTTGATTATCATCTTAGTTGCTAAATTTAATTTATAGTGTTTCTTCGATTGTTAATTAAGATCGGAAGTCTCCGCCGCAAGATTTCTGTCGGAGAACAAACCAAGGTGGCTACGACTGATGTACATAGGAGTTTTATTGTATTTTTGTTGGCGAAGCTAACATCTTCGTCTGAAAATGAAAATCAATCTTCTTCTGATCAGTTGTATTTTTCCTTTGAGTAAAGTTTACACAGATTTTGGTAAGCAATAAAAGTTTTGGAATTGGATGATATGTAGCTTTTTCAGGTTTTCACGTTTTGAAAACGTGATTATCATTTACAATATTAAACATTGAATGATAAAAAGTAAACATTAATACGCTATTTTTCAATTGTTTAAAATTTATAACTAGTTTCATAAAAATCTATTCATCTAATAGATACTAGATTTTTAACGTTTTGAGTTTATTCAGTTTTCAGTTTACCCATTCTATTGATTCCGCTAATTTATTATTCTGCTATTCAGTTATTAAGTTGACATACCAATCAAACCTAAATATATTTTGTTCTTAACATTTTACACTAAGTTGTTTTAATAGTCATATAATTTTTTTTAAACAAATTCTTCCATCATTAGTAGAAAAAAATAGTTTAATTTTTGACATATACACATTTTTAAATCTAAAATTCAACATCTAGCATAATAAATTTTGAACTTAATTTCTTCGGATATTAAATCAAATTTTAAATTTGTTTATAGAACGAAAAGTTATCTAGTTTTTAATCAAGAGGTCGCTAAGATTTAAAATTTAAATATTTGATTTGAAAGTAATATAAGACATTTGGATTTAGCGGATAATTTCACCCATACTTACTCGATATTTTTTTAAAGCGTCATGATCCAAAAGAAAAAGAGCGCGTATCTATGTAAATCCAACTCCGTCGACTTCCTTTAATTGGGCCCAGAAAGGCCTAGTTTTAAACTTTGCCAACATATTATCTCACCGACGTCGTTTGAAACCAAAATTTATTTTGTCTATTCCTCTTATACTATTTAATAACAATAATAAATTAAATTCTATCTATCTCTTTTTCTTCTCCTCCTGGCTATCACTGTCAGTGACACCGTTGGGAAGTCTAATTTTCACTGTCATATACTATGCTTTTAGCCTTTTAGGTCATTGATCTTGTTTGGGATTTTATAAAACAAAATTTATTCCAAGAACAAGCAGAGAAGGTGTAACGGATCTTGAACCTCTGGAACGGCAGCATTTTAACCACTTGGATCAAACTTTAAAATCTTTATTAAATCAAAATCTGTTAACTTGAACTTTAAACCGCCATTTCTATTCTATTAACCTGCAAAGAGAAAAAAGGAACGACGGGGAGGGAGTGAGTAATTTGGGATTACTCAGGAGGATGAACCCAAAACGGGACCCCAGTACGTGATACTATACTCGCACACCTAGACCAAGACTAGACCAACCCCAAATTAACGTTTAATAAGAGTTTATTAATGCTTCTACACCAGGAGGTCTGGGTTTCAAATCCCAGCGAACGCGATTTATTCTTAATTATGCAGATTAATGAAGAATGATGCAAATTAATGGAGGCAAGCTTATAAGAGATCTTCAGCGTGATGCAAGCAGAATCGTCAGGCGTAGATCTTCATATGATGATGGTAAGCGTAGTGCAGGGTGTAGGTAGGGCCGTTAGTCGTGGATCTTCATAAAACGGTAGAATTGACCGTTGTAGAATCGTCGATGTAACAGTTTTCATAATTTGCAATAGATTAATAAATCAGTGTTAAAAAAACGTTAATCTCCACATTAACTTATTAGTAACACCAAACACACAATGTTTATATATATACTAGGTGACTGACTCGCACCGTGTACAGGCTATAAAATATTTTATATATGATTAATATTATATATTAAATATGATTAATATTATATATTAAATATAATTTATTTGTATATGATTAATATTATATATTAAATATGCTTTATTTGTATCTGATTGATTACGTATTAATAATAAAATTATATAAATATTTAATAATTAAAAAATAATAATAAATCAAATGAAAAATGTTATAGATTTCAATAGAAATTGAAGATAAAAAAAAAATTAACCCAGATTTTTAAAATACTTTATTAGAAAAAGTGTAAATATGATAACTAAATAAACTGAAAATATTAAAATATATAATAATTTATTTAATTTTTATGGTTGGTCCGCACGCATGTGCAAGTATAATTTTATTATATATATAATTAGTTGTAATATTTAAGTATTGATTAATTTCTTATACATATGTAAGCATTATGTTTTTATACATATACAGTTTTAGCCTTTAACAACAATCACATAAATATTTCATATCATTTTGTGTCTTTAGAAAACTTATTATGTAAGCATTACATTTTTTTACATATACAGTTTTAGTGTTTAACAACAATCACACAAACGTTTCATATCGTTTTGTGTCTTTTCAAATCTTTTTGTTTTTTTTTTAACGTTTAGAGTAACATATAATTATAAATGTAGAAGTTATATTAAAAAATATTTAAATTCTTATAATATATTTTGAATATTATTTATATTATATTTATTTTTCCCTTTGCACAATATAATCTTGTCAATATGTATTTTAAGTATACATTTTTTCTTGAATTATTGCTAAGTAAACCAAAATAGGTTTTACCATTACTACTTATCCTAAGAGCGGATAGATGGTTGGTCCCAACATTCGTGGGTACCAACCACATCACCGCTCTTAGGACATATAGAAATTTTTTTAATAAATAAAAATTGACTAATAACTAAAATTAAAATTGGACTGTAATCGAGGGGTTAAGAAAATGCATGCACGACAAATTTGCATGTGACTTTGATTTTTGAACAATTAATATTTATATCTACCTGTATATTTGTGAAAAAGTTGAAGTATGGATTTTATGTGTTAAAAGAAAATAACAAAATATATGTTTTTTAATATATATTTCTATAGTGTATGATTGATTTTTTTATAAAAAATATGTATATTATGCATGTAAGTATAAGTTAATTGAAATATTTAGGTCTTGGTTAGTTTTTCTGATATTCTGTAAACATTATGATTTTACACAATACATTTTTGTGGTGTTTAACTACAATCATGAAAACCGTTTCTAACATTTGTATTTAATCAAAATTTCTTATTTTCCAATATTTTATGATATATGGTTTCTCAATCAAAATTATAATAAAGATTTATTGTAAAATTTGTGAATTCTTATTTTATAAAATTCTGTGGTAGTTCTCCGGTCACTTCTTCATCAAATTATTTATAGCCCGTAATCGCTCGCTTCCACAAATTCTATGTAACTGCAGCGTTTAAATCAGCCGGATCCTAAATTTATATGAGTATGGTTGAAAGTGTAAAATAATATATTTAATATTTAATTGTTATATTACAAAATAAGAGTTCATGTTCCTAACTTTGATATATGTGTTAATCTTATATATAATGGATCATAACATATACAAAACTTGATTTATGAAATATTATTTTGAGATGTTGAAAAAATATATGCATGAAAGAATTAATATGTGTAAGATAATATTTTTGAATATTTCAAAATAAAAACATAAAATCGATCAAAATTATTCTTTTTTTTTGTCTTCTTTGACTCATATTATTTTTTCTTAACTTTGAATAATATATTAAACATTAAGATAATCTCCAATGTATTTTTCTATTTTTCCTCTAAAATATAGGTGGCTTTTTCCCCATCCTATTTCTATTTTAATGAAAAAAAAAGATTATTATTTTTTCCTCCAATTATAGAAGAAAAAATAACATCGCTATTTTTCCTCTAAATTAGAAAATTTAAAACAAATGTGGGTTAGAGGTATTTTAATCCAAAGGCATAGCGTGAGAGTTTTACAGAAAATCAAAGTCGTAAAAGTTCATTTTTACTTTTACTTCTACTTCTTATTTATATGTTTATTTATATTAGATAAAAATTCATAATAAAAATTTGTTATAAAATTTGTAAAATCATATTTCATAAAATTCTTCGGTAGCTCTCTGCCCATCTCTTTGTCCAATATTGAGGAATTTGTTTGATGAAGAAAATAAATTTCTTATGGTTGGTCTGTACGCATGTGCTCATTATAAAATTTGAGTCACACATGCGTCTATTATTAAATTTCTTTCTTAATATTTTTAAAGGAATTTGTAAAACAAAGTTTGAAAGTGTTACGAAAAAACAAAACTATAGAGATTTTTATTACTTCTACTTTTATTCATATTTGTTTTTTCTTATTTATAATTTACTTTTTAATCCGATTACATTGCATTTTATTTCTGATCTCAAATTCTCGATCTACAATGAGACTGTATATATGAGTATGACTATGATATAAAGTTTTCATTTATTTTTTAAGAAAATGATAAGAGATAAAATAAAATAGTAATGTAAGGCAAGTTATACAAATTCCAGAAAACAACAATATAAAAATGTTAAAAAATTATATACAAATAATTATATATCATACTCCCAACATTATTATAGCGTATATACTATCTTATTGGATAATCTATTATACTTTTTCTATTTAAAAGTTTAAAATATATATTGGTTGTAAATTTTTTGTTGTAATCCTATTTTATGCAATATATCATAAATATATGTAAAAACAAATTCAAATCAAAGTAATTATTATTTTCTGTTTATTTAAATTTATTATTTTTATTGTTATAACCTAGTGTATTTATGTTATAATTTTAAAATTTGTTTAATTATAACTCAACCAATCAAAATATTTCGTTTATTTTAGAAAATTTGTCATGTCACATTTCCATGTTACAATTCCATATCAACATTAATTTGCACTAACTTTTGTTAAGGTGATGACACATCAGATTTTTCATTAAACATGCTTCTCAAATAATAGTTAAGATATATATACCTACTTCTCACAATTATGATAATACTACACTAACCAGAAATAATTATTTTACTACAATCAACTTGTAATAACTCTGCCATTATATTCTTCCTTTAATTACCCCATATTATTATTATTATTTTTTTTAATTACCCCATATTATTAATATGCGCGGAAATATACTTTAATATTAATAGTACATTTAGTAACAAATATAAACCACCACATTATATACGTCATATGCAATACATAACACATTGAAAAGATACACGAATATATATATATATATATATATATATATATATACAATTACGAACTCGTGCAATAACACTAAACACCACGATCAACTTTATTTTATATGAGTACAATAATATAACTTAAACCCGAGTCACAACGCAAAATCAGTATATAACTCTAAGCATCAATTGACTTAACACGAACCCACACTTGATATTTAGATATACTTTCAACTACACATTTTTAACCCCTTAATCATTATTACACGATACGGCTACCCACACACTAGAGGAGACCAGACCACGATTTCAGTGTGATATGGCATAGGAAAACGCATAAGGTAGTGAATTAGATCCGCCCTCACCTTAGCTTACAACGATGGAGCTGGACGGTTGAAGATGGCGGAGAGAAACAGTGGATATTGGTTGCTTCCCGCACAAGGTACACTCGGCTTGCACTAAGACCTCGCGATTCAACTCGACGGTGCTGGATTTCGGGTCCGCCGGTTATGAGTGGTGACAGGCGCTCCTCCTACGTTGTGCGACTCGCGCCAGTGTTGGGTGATGACAAGTGGTGATCGGTAACAACAGCGGCTCCTCACGCTTACGTTGATGGCGGCTTCCCTCTCTCGCCTCCTCCTGGTTTTTTTTCTCTCGAGCGGCTAGGTTTTCGGAAGAGAATGGAGAGGGAGATACATACACCATGCACGTGCGTTTTGGTTAGAAGAGGGAGGTGGGCTCACTTGGGCCAGAAGTGCAATCAAAAGGAATAAAAAAGGCCTACTGAAAATGGGAAATGGCTATTACAATTCTTCCCTCTTAACAGAAATTCGTCCCAAAATTTTGTGACAAGGGTTCATATTGCGACTCCTTTACCCAACAGATTGAAACGTGAAAGTGACAGAAACTCGAACTTGAATAGCTCCACTGCTCTGGATGTAAATAAATGAATAAGTAATA